TCGAGGACTCCTGCCGTGTCGATATTGATCCAGGGTCTAAGGCCGTTTTTGGCGTGAACATCCGCGCCTTGTACGCTTGGTGCTGTCTTGCACGGACTGATCAATATTTTCTCTCGTCATTTTGCATCAAATCTTGACCGGCAGGAGTGGGTACCTTATCCTGGTAGCACAGCATCAAATACAGACTTCTTCAAGTTAGGAGTATGGCGTGATAGTAAGCAATCTGTATACACTTGATGCCTTAGAAAAATTAATCCCTGACAGGCTTTGAGTACACCCTAGCCTGTCCAAAGACCTGAGAAGTACATGGGTTGGCGCGCTGCAAGGTTGTATGCGGTTCAAGGCTCCCGGCTGTCTGGCTTGCATTGCCGCTAAAACTGTCGCCCCTACTGAAGTTGAAGTTCATGCACATAGTTGCCTTGCAGTGATGTTTTAATCTTACCTGCATACACTGGATGCCTTGTAACACAGTATGCGGCTGAAGGCTCCTAGCGGTCCAGCTTGCACTGCCGCTAAAAGTGTTGCCCCCACCGAAGTCGAGATTCCTGCACAAAGTTGCCTTGCGGTGTTTTTACCATCTTATCTGCATATTACAATACATCTCCCCACACCCACCCTGTAATGGCTGTCCAGAGTTCGGCTTCCTGCACCTAGTCGCGCTGGGACAACAACGATCCTTGCTGTACTTTGCCCACGGATGCATCGGATAAATTATTTTAGGCGGCGCCATACACGGGCTTACCCGCCTTCCCCCCGTGGGCCCGATGCCGCCCTGCATTCAGGCCTGCATTAATTACATGACCACCGACAGGGATGAAAAAGGCACTAGTCACCTTCCAAGTTGCCCCGCCGGTTCTGCGCCATGCGGGTCGCCCCCACTTGCGACACCCTTCACAGTCGTTACCACATCGGCTGTACCACCGATCGGCATTGTCCTCATCGTATATTTCGCATTGGACGCATGAGGTGTGTGGGCTAAATGCAGAGCTGAGATAATCCAATCGAATGCTAAGCGCAGATCGGGACGCCACCGACATCCCCTAAACGGATATTTCGCCATACCGCGGTCGTACTACATGTCCGTCTCTTGTAGGATGTGACCGTGTTTTGTGCATTGCATACGGCCGCCTCAAAGTACTCTTGGTGCGGAGTTTCACGTGCATATTCGAATCAGTCAATTCTCTACTTGTAACGGCTGAATAATTACAAGCACAATCTGGGGTGACTTAACGAATCATCTCTGCCCACCATATAGCTTGTATTTTTGCCATCTGTTCCGCGGTCATCTCTTTATCAATTATTTCGAAATGGCGTCGGCGTGGCAACACTGGCTCTCGCCGCGACCGAAGCAGCGCAGCATAACAAACACGCTAACGGCCTTTCCTCACCTTGGTGATGCTGCGCTGTATGAGCCACTCTCAAAGCCCAATGGCCTTTGGGTAGTCAGAGAGACGCACAGAATTAAAAATCCGATTGTTAAGGCCGGACTATCTGGACCCCCACTGTAAGTGAGAAAGATCAGATCATGCTTGTCACGGAAGGGACCTGATTAGCTGGTACTGCAGACATATACACCTTCAACAAGACGAATTCTTCAAGGTCGAGCAGGGTGTATTGGGCGCAGTCAAGGACGGGGTGGAATACGCCGTCACCAAGGATGACGGAATTCTCTCCATACCCAAAGGCACGCGGTAAGCTTTCCCCTGACAGGCAAGATGTCGTGTCTATTTTACTTATAGAACAACCGTGACTGACCGAATTCCGAACTTTGCAGCCATCGATTCTGGTCTCACACATCAGCTACGGAAGACCTTGTCTTCACCATCTGGCTAGATCCCTGTACAGAAACGGACCATATTCTTGACGTAAACAGCCTGCGCAACCTCACGGGCTACATGCATGATTGCCAAAAGGCTGGCCTGGAGCCGTCGCCTTGGCAGATGCTTCTGTTCTTTGAAGACGCTTCCTCGGTCACAATTCCGCCGGCGCTCAGTTGGATGCCGAACTGGCTGCTCACGTGGGTACACCACAGGCTCGCCTGGTACGCAGAGAATATTTTAGGGTAAGCATTCAGTTGATATCACAAGCGCATGATGTCTACTTTCTTATATGTATGTTGTAATCAGCTAACCCTCCATCAACCATAGGTACAAGAGGTCGTACTCTGAATATGCTAAAGAGTCGTGAAGCCTTTAGTCAGGTGGCGTGAACATCACTTTGGTAAATAGTATGTCGTATCGATTTTTTTCTGGAATGAGTCGTAGAATCTAGAGCCATGTCCCTTCCGCAAGTTGTGGAGAAATTGATTGCGGGCATAGTTTACGTGAATGATCACAAGTACGTTTGAATGGTATTCCAGTATTGGACTATATTTACCGCCTCTAACACTATGAATCCGTGCAATCTCATGCATTCGCTTCATGCGTTAAAACTGGCTTTGTGTGATGAAGCAATTCGAGGTGAGTCCCGCTCCTGTGGCATTCTTCCCCCGCAACGACTGCCAGAGAAGATCACCATCGACATGTGTAAGTTGGTCAATTGCTTCGGATCTCTTCTTATACTGGTGCTGTAACATGGTCTAAGTTACTCTCAAATGCATCAGAAAGGAGCGGGAGGGATGACTCTTCTATTACTTAGATACCATTGTGGGTTTCGACTCCGTTATCATGGGTTGCGAGAAATCTTTCCCACGCCTCTCGTCCAGCTTCTGCAGCATCGTACTCCCAGAGCCACTTGAACAGGTCAAAGTCTGCACCCGCACGAAATTTGGCATCTCGTTCCTCTTGTGCTGGACCATCGGCAAGAGCAAACATAGCCTTCTGGTCTATTGTGCGATGTCTGACATTCGAAGCTCGTGGTTTGCGAACCTCTTCGAACACCTTAAGGGCATCCGGGATTTGTTGACGTCTCACGAGCTGGCCGAATATCCCTCCAAGGACTCCTGCATCCTCGAAGGCCTGTGCGGCACCCTGTGCTCTGAAGAAGGGTTAGCCAGTATCAAAACCCACCAACAGACTATGATTATACTCACAGGCATGGCAATATTGCGTGAGCAGCGTCGCCAATAAGCACGAAATGTGCAATATCATGGCACCATTTGACCGGCTCATGGATTTGGAATAGAGTCCACTTGGTGCAAACAGACCCCTCCACATTGATGAGCTCGTGAAGGACTGGGTCCCAGCCAGAAATTTTGCTCCTGAACTCTTCTTTGTCTGCTCGTTGCGGTCCGTAAATAGTCCTGCTACCTGCACTCTCGGCGTATATCAGGACGATATTGAGCATATCGTGCTGGATGAGGTACGAAACCACGTGTCCGCCTTTTCCCATCCAAAAGTTGACGCTTGATCGTCTCTTTAGGTCCCAAGCGAGATGGTCTTCCGTAATGTCTTTTGTAGGGACAGAGATTCGGTAAACGACGTCGCCAGGACTGTAAGGAGGGTCCGGATGACCCAAAAGGCCACCCCTACAACGAGATCTCTCCCCGTCAGCCCCTAAAATTATGTCCGCTTCATAGACTTCATCAGTGGATAGACGTAATGAGGGCTTGATGAAATCTATCTCTTTGACTTCGCTGTCCAGTTTGATCTCTACCCTATGCTTCCTTGTTCCTGACAGCAAGGCTCTCAGGAGATCGGCACGATGAATCACAATGTAAGGAGCCTTGCTAACCAATCGCGGGTCAGACACGGGCGGAGACTGTGACAGCACATCTCCTCGATAGGAGCGGAAAGTCCCGACCTCGGGTCGGTCAGCATACTTGAGGACCTCCTCAAGGACGCCCCAGTGTTGAAGCAGACGCGTAGCGTTAGGGGATAGCTGTATCCCAGCGCCAATCTGTTAAGCGTTGTTAAAAGAGCTCGGAGCCTATATTGGAAAGCATGCAATTACTTCCTGTAGTTCAGCACTACGCTCGAACACTGTCACATGGTGACCAGCTTGAGCAAGAGCCAATGCGGAAGCCAATCCACTAAGACCACAACCTACAACCAGGACGGAAAACACGGGTCGCGGATAACACTCAGACGCCATGTCAGAACTGAAGGTAATGGTTTTGAAATTTTCTGGGAACCTTGGGAAGGTTATGGGTACCAAGGGTTTTATAGAAATCTCTGTCTATTGTTTTGTTAGGCGGGTCGCGACTCGCGCAGTCAATCCCCGCAGCGGGTAACACATGCGGTGGTTAGTGAACAGGCACTCGTGTGCGGGTGGGGCGACGGTCTGGCTGCATAGTAGCTGACCGAATATGTAAGCCGACGTCTACTGCCGTATAACCACCATAGCTTAGCGCGATCCATCAAAATGTCTGGCTCGGATTTCAGTTCCAGAAACTCCGAGAGCAAAATTTGCTTGACATGGGTTTGTAAGAGGCCTGAGGTCGATATATATAGTGCGAAGAGCATAAATAGAGGTGACTCTGTCATCAGAGCATATAAGTGAATGGGGTAATTGATCCAAACACGCACGCTGCATCCAGAATCACCCTACCCTTGTCCTGCCATTCAGCAAGTACTTCTAATTCATATATGACTAGTTATACAAAGTAATCATACAAAAGCAGGAACAATCATACAATGGCTGATTACCGAGGTCAACATATCACAATATCTGATGTTGTTCCCTTCCCTGAGATCATATTGGGCCCAGACAGCCTGCAGTATTCTCTTACAATAATTGAAAGATCGCGACGAGCTCATCTTCTCCGTCCTAGAAATGACATCGAGGACGACGGCCCGTTGCTCATCCGTTCGCGCCTCGCAGCCAATGACATGGATGGGAAATTGCTGTCTACAGAACCTCAAACGGGAGAAGATAGCAAAGGCTTTGTCGATATACTGTTGGGTCCTGATGGGTTGGTCGATCACGCCTTCGGATCTTCGGCTGAGGAACACGAGCATAGCAAGCTGGTACAAGTGCATTACCAACGTCGCATCATCCAAAACATGATTATCATCATCTGGGATTTTGGGCATCGGTACCGTCCTGATTCTCCAATCTGTCACTTTCAGAAAGCCCTTATAATCTTCCACGCTATCACTGGCTTGTGGCGGGATTGCACTACTAGATATTGTGACGCATGATTGGGACAGCAAATCTAGCATGGAGAAAATAGGCGGCGGAAGGATGGAAATCTGAGGTGTCAAAGGTCAGATCCACACTTGATGTAGTCATGAATTCGTTGTCTTGTACGAACCTGCAAACCAAAGAAGTTTGTTGGAGTCGACGGGAGCTCCGGGGTCCCTTCTCTTTCCCAGTATTGAAGTGAGAAGCGAGCGAGGACATCGTAGTAGTGCACCCAGTCTAGCAAGACGACCACATCAGAGCCGAGCTGAAGTAGTTTTTTGATAGAAGACGCGTTAATGACCGTCTCGACACCGCGAAGAAATCCCATCCATTCGTCTGAAGAGCAAGATGACTGATGGACCTCAAACGAACAAAGCAGCATCCCTGTGGCAGTATGCTGAATGGTTTCTTTTGCGCCCAGGCTTAGCGCAGCTGATTCTTTTGCTAAGCTTCTCAGCGCAGCAATCTTTAGCTCAACAGCTTGGGGCTGCAAACCGTAGCGATGGAGCGAAGAAAAGGCCAGCAGCGCCTGGAGCACTGCTGCAGCCGAGGCAGTTTTCCCTTCCAGAGCAATTCTAACCAGGATATCTCCAAGGGCGATGGCGTCGTGACCAAAGGTAGCCAGGGCCGCGGATGCTACACAGCAAACTGCACATGAACCCGTCAGCACTGCCTCCCCTGATTTAGCTCGGTGAGTAGCTATGCGGGGTTGTCACAGCATACAGTACTCGAACAGGTCTCGATCAGGAGCCTCCAACTTGAATGTGTTGCACAGCATTGGTACGCCAAGCAAAGACAGGGTACGCACTGGCGCAGAGCTTGTCAAGCTGTGATTCAACTCAATGTCCCAATGCGACATGTGGACGAATCGTGCATCGGAGACTAAGCCCGTTTTGGAGAGTGACAGATAGGGCGGTGACGACTTAGAGACGACAGCACGCCGGCTATCGTTCGCACGCGGCCAGGACAGCTTGAGACCATACCCGTGGCATTTCCGGTTAGACCGAGAGCAGTTTGTGCAGTGGGGCCTGGCCCCATCGCAACTGATGGCACGACCTAACACGGTTAGGAGCCTTCTTGCTTGTCTTTTAGGACCTGTCCTCTACCTACCTTTGCATGTGGCGCAACCGATGCGGGGTGTTGCCATTTGCCTGTGCTGCATATTTGTGAAGGACCACTCGTGCACAGATCGCCTACGCACACAGTGGGGTAGGTTAGGGAGAGATCGGTACATTCCAGTGGCGGAGTCATCATACTTATATACTTGCCATTTCTATGTATTTGACGTTACATCGCATAATATGAGACCATGCATGCTCCTAAAGTGTGTTGGTGGCGTACTTAATTCATGATTCTGCTGATAAGCATTGCATTACGGAGCTACCCGTCCGGTCAGACCACCACCCTAGCAGAAAAACTCGAATAGTTTCTGCTGACATACCGGTAACTACCCAACCAAATGTTCGTTTATTAGCACTCACCATACAAAATCGCATTGTGAGCAGCCATCACACACTGAATTGACTTAATTCAAATTATGTGAGGCTATTGAAATACTGTGTTATTGTATCGCAATCAATTTTCGTGGTGTTGATAAATCACCAGAGGCTGGTTTTGCACTGAACTTTTGGGTGCCGAAACACCTGCCTATAATAATAAACCCTCCCATCATGTTAGCAGGCAGCATTATCCCTAATCTCTGTTCTAAGAGTGAGCTGATTGTATGCAGTTAAACCTAGAATGCTGAGTTGTTTAAAGAGCTTAAGGGCAGGCATAGGCTGGATATTTTTCTAGTGATCCTAACTTAAGCGTAATAAAACCACGAACGCAAAGGGGTATTAGCATGTAGCTTTCTAGAATCAAATGGCTGTACTTTGCAGCTATGTAGACGCATTTTAATTAAAAAATATAAAAATTTAGTAGAATTATAGCTGCTTAAAGTTGAATACTAACGCAGTGTTAATGCGCGTGGGGTGGTTATGTCAGCAGAAACTGTCCAGGTTCTTCTGCTAGGGTAGTGAGACAGACAGAGGGATTACATAAACAGGTTGTTAGCGCAGGTGCAGCGAGCGTCATCAGCAAGCTATTCAGCTGTCTTCACGGAGTTTGCCCTAAGTTAGTACTACCCTGTAATGCAGGTAAGACTAACCTAATTATGGATTAAGAGCAGGAAATGCTGCAGCAGTGCAGCCTATCGTTGTGACGATCCCCTAAGTCATCTTATCTGGAGGGCCTGAAGCTAGCGACCCGTTCAGCGGGGCGTACTGTACGCTAAATGCCGATTTCCGATCGTGATTGGAGTTTCGCTTAAATTGCGCGGTTTTGCTAGCTGGCTGAGGCCACATTTCCCCGGTCGTTGTTGAAAAACAGATTCAGCCTCATAAGCACTAGCTCTCTCGTGCCGATTCTCAAGCCACGTTCGATAGTTGATATTTGGTCTCAACTGAAACATTTCCATGATGTGGCGCGAGGAACGTGCTATGCTGACCGGCGCTGGCTTTACGCGGTTCGGAGGTGTCGGTGGGCATTCAGAATGAAGACCATTAAATGAGACTGTTGTGTCGAAGGAGAGCACGCAAGCCATCCAAAGGTTTACTATCGTGGCTATATTAGGACTAGATCGAAGCAGAGATGGTCTCTCCTAAATCCTCTTTCGTTGTCTACGGCCTCGCACTCCTACCGGCTCTCGTGACCAGTTCTCCTATCGCGTCTGGGTATTTTGAGAGAAAACTGTTCTCGCGAGATAACATAACTGCAACCACAGTCACGGCTGAGCTGGGCCCGCGGCTTTCCAGTGGATCGCTAGTTTTCGGGTCCGACAACCCACAGTGGTCCAATGCAACCAGTAGATGGAATCGTTTCGTGCGGCCTGATGTCCAGGTCGTTGTGGAACCGGCGGCGGAGTGTGACATAGCCAAAATAGTGAGGATTCAGTCAGGAGGTTGTTGAGAATTGGAAACAGTCCTGCTAACTTCGAATAACATAGATCAAATACTGTAACGACAATAGCTTCGAATTTCTCGTGAGGAATCGTGGACATGGAATAACGTCTTCCTTGTCAGCCTTCTCGGGTATACAAATCAATGTGGAAGGGCTCCAAGACATTACTGTTCAGCCAGATGAGGAAACTGCCGTACTCCAAGCTGGAACATCTGGTGGTCAGGTCATAAGAGAGCTTTGGGATCAGGGTTATGTTACCAGTAAGCGCTTTATTATTGTCGAAAAATTTCATCGCTGATATCGAGTTTGTAAGCTACTGGAGCTACACAATGTGTTGGCATCATGGGTCCATCATTAGGTGGTGGCCACGGGCGCTACAATGGACTCTATGGCTTAGTCACAGATAACATCCTGCACTACAACGTTGTCCTGGCAAATGGCACAGAGATCGGTGTAAATGAGACGAGCCATTCGGATCTTCTCTGGGCCTTGAAAGGGGCTGGTCATAACTTTGCCGCTGTCACGAGTATTGTGAAGAAAATCTATCCCAAGGACATCGACACATGGCATTTCCACAACTATACTTGGACACAAGATAAGCTAGAGACCGTATTTGAAACGCTAAACACTTTCCACAAAAGCTATAATGGCACTACACCTCCTAAGATGGGTGTCAACTACGGGTCCATCATTATGGACAGGTCTGTGAGCACAGCTGAGGTTGGTAGTTTTTTCACCCCCATTCCAACACTATTGCTAACCACGTCCAGGCGGTGCTGAAGTGGGGCTTCTATTATGCCGGCCCCGCAATCGAAGCAGAAGAGCTCCTGAGACCATTCAACGCCATCGGTGCTGTCGCAGAGGACATGATTGACCTCTCATACCCCGAAGTATCTGACCTCACCAGTGGAGACTGTGTTTCTGGCGACTTAGCCATATCCAGTGTCTTGACACTAGAGTACAATGCCACAGCGGAACGTGCACTTTACAATCATTACATCGCAAAGGTGGCCGAATACCCGGAACTTGGTGCCACCGCCTATCTTTGGCATGAAGGCTACGCTACTGCCGGATACCAGGCTATTCCTTCCGAGTCCACCGCTTACCCTCACCGGGAGGAGAACCACATAATGTAAGTCATTCCCCTCCGTGCAACAGGAGCGTGGTCATGTATACGCGATTGGGTAGATTAATTGTATCCTTATAGGTTCTTCGCCACCGCAGTTCCGGAGGGATCTGAACTGCTGGACGCGGCAAACGTGTGGGCCAAGGAGTCAACGGACATCTGGAACGATGGCCAGCCCGGTCGTCGGCCTAAGTTGTACGTGAACTACGCCATGGGCCACGACTACGAGACACTCGAGTCCATCTATGGTTATGAACCGTGGCGCTTGGAAAGACTGCGCTCGCTTAAGGTTGCATACGATCCAGAGGACCATTTTCGCTTCTTTGTTCCCATTGTATCCAATTCGACGTCATAGAATTAGAATTGTTATGAACCTTTCGTTTCACAGGCACGATTGGTGATAGATCTATTCGCATTTTTTTATGTTAGTCTCAGGCTTAGGATAGGATGTTCCTGGTGGTTTTCGTTTAGACGCAGGCGAGAAAATGGTGGAGAGGCACTTGTGGTAGAAGGGCTTGTCATGAGACTTCGGGGATGTTGGGAAGCGAATATGTCCTCGGTGCACCTAGTCACATCGTCAAGTGTACGTAGACGGACGTGTAACGTACGCATTTTATGTTCTAAGGAAGTGGACGCTTCATTGATACATCAGCTAACTGATCAGTGAGTTGAAGGAACAACCTCATCACATAGACTCATGCCTTCACAAGTGCACGTACCATACAAGACCATCCCCTTGCAACCTTGGATCCTAGCCACACCTAGATCGATCAGTGTATCTGGTGTAATGGATCAGGATACCCTATATCTACACCCACTGCTTGTTTCCAAGATGCGAGACAAACGCACCACCATTCCCATTCTCGATACTAGCCTTCTCCCAGACCGACCTGACCGCTCGCACGGATTCTTCTGTCGAGATTGGGCCCTTGAAATGAGGCGCATAGGCCGCAAGCTTGCCTACAAATCCCATCAATCCCTGCGTCTCTTCTGGAGTGACTGTAGGTATGCATTAGTCGATTTCCCAGGTATTTCGATCTTGAAGACAGACGGGGATACGTACTACTCGAATAGTGGCCCACCTCCACAACTCCCGGGCTGATAGCCATGAACAGCACGCCGTCGTTCTTATACTGCACGTTGAATTTGGCGACAATAACGTTCATAGCTGCCTTGGAGGCAGCGTATAAGGAACCAATATCAATCTCGACATCGTTGGTTAAGTCAATGTCCGCAAGACCCGTGGAAATGGTGATGACCTTCTTGACCTTGCTCTTCAAGACAAGAGGGAGGAAGAGGTGAAACAGGTGCACGTTGCCGATGACGTTCGTCTGCCATAGCTGCGAGGAAACAGCCTCTAGCTCCTCGACCTTGTCGCTCCTGGTAAACACATAGCGTTAGCCACAGACCAGACAGTACCTAGAGGGAAGTAGACCTACAACGCGCCGATGGGTCCAAAGCCGTCGAAGTAGGGCACGATACCTCCGTTAGCAATCAGGTAGTCGATACCGCGCTCGCCAACAATCTCAGCAGTGTCGGCAGCGGCTTGCTTTAGGCTAGCGTAGTCGGTGAGGTCTGCGTGGAGGATGTGGACATTAGAATGATCGCCTAGCTCTGCTGCCACCTTCTTCTCGGTTGCGGCTTTGTCCCGGACCAGGCCGACAAATAGGTTGTTCGGGTCTTCCGAGAGCTGCTTGACGAACTCAAACTACGCTGAGGTTAGCAAGGGCAATGCGCAACAAGGGCATAAGGCAGACTTACCCCGATTCCCCTCGATACTCCAGTAACGACGTACACGGACATATTGAGTGCTTTTAGCTCGTAGAAGTTGTTGTGGACTGCGATGTGGTTAGGTACGAGGTGCTTGATAGATATAGAATGGAACAGAAGTTGTAGTTTGGTCAGCCGTGATGGCTGCAGCTATGCCCGAAGCGGCTGGCGTTGCAGACCCTTGTTTCCGCTAGGCCCCACTTCCCCCGTGCAAACAGCCAGCTGCAGCTGTCCCTAAAGAGAGGTCCTTGTTCATTGATTACCAATTCGCTCTTCGTTCGTTTCGCCTTGCATGTTTGTACGTAGTTGCCTGAAATCTCACTTGGCGTAACACATGCATAACCATTGTACATGGATCATCAAAGCTACTCCACTCATTATCCGGGTAGACTCCGTTAGCCTAGTCATAGCTGCTGTGGCGTGCGTCAGGGCTTACCGAAAGAATAGTCAGTAACTTGTGGGCGGCGACGCTTGGGCGGAAGCCCCGAACACGCGCAAAGTGCTCCTCGCCAACACCTCGAGATTCCCCGGCCCCACATTGGCAGGATCGCAAACATGAGCTCTACTGTCGCCGTCACCTAGCAGCCTGAGATCCTTTCCTGAAGTCAACACACCTCTCATTGGCGGATTATACGTGCTCTGAGAAACGGAAGCAACAATGAGATCTCATTTCATCCTTACAGCAGGAGCTGCTCCTTTTGCCAGCAGTACTGTGGATGCAGTAAGCCCATGTGTAAGAACTGCTGCTTCGCTATCGACACGATATCACGCTGAGATCTACGCAGTGCACCACGCTTGCCAACCTCAGCGGGTTCCGCCAAAAGGTGTTCTTCCCTGAATCAGAGATCTACAACGAGCGCCTAGAGTCCATCTTTTCACAGAGTGCCCGCCAAGCTCCCTGGTGCGTCCTGCTCCCTGAGTCATCCCAGGATGCATCCGAAATCATGAAAACCGTAAGCAAACTTAAGTGTCCATTTGGCATTCGGAGTGGCGGGCACGGAATGCACCGCTTGTCAAACTCTGTCGAAGGTGGCATTACAATCGATTTCAGTATGCTTTTCCCCTGTTCGAGAAAGTGGATGAAGACTGAAATCTTCTGCAGCCCGCATGAACACGACAAAGTACGACAAGAAAGAGGGAATTGTATCCATTGGCCCCGGGATGAGATCGGGCCACATCTACGACGAGATCATGGACGATGGTATCGTCGTCACTGCAGGGCGCGTCGCGCCAGTCGGAGCCGCAGGCTTCATTACGGGCGGCGGCATCTCGTACCATTGGCCTAGCCATGGCTGGGGATGTGACAACGTCGTCAACTATGAAATGATACTCGCAAACGGAACTATTGTCAACGCCAATGAGCACCAGAACCGCGACCTGTGGTTTGCGCAGCGTGGCAGCAGCGGGAACTTTGGCCTGATCACCCGCTACGATATGCGTGCGATCCCCTACGCAAATCCAAAAGTCCCTCTGATATGGGCCGGCGCCATCGAATACGACTGGAGCGCGAAAGGGGAGTTCGTTAACCGCTGGGTCGCCTTCACCAAGCGCCACGCCTTAGACATGAACAGCTCCTCCATGTTCCAGTTCCAATACGACACCACCAGTGACAAATGGCAGCTCGCAACCATCCTCTCGAACACCGCGAACATCGCCAATGCGACCACACTGCAGCCCATCATCTCCATGGACAAGCAACTCGGCAACGGCCTGCGCTCCGACACTATGGGCAACTTCACGCGCGAATTCTTTGCAGATGTGAACGACAAATACCATATCTGGTTAACCTCGACATATACCGTGGACCCTGAATTTATCTTATACACGCAAGACCAGCATCAATTACTTGTTCAGCAGTTGCGCGCTGCGCTGCCCAACGGCACACAGTTCACTAGCCTGACCACGCACCACGCTATGACACCCACCGTGGTGTCGCATTCCAAGGGTAACAATGTCCTCGGATTGGAAAGGCGTGTCGCTAATAACACCGTCGGCCACATGTTCCTCATCTGGGTGCAGCTTAAGACCGCACAAGATGAAGCGATTGCTCTACCTATAGTGCAGGCGTGGCATAAGAGACTTGGGGGGGAGGGGACTAAGCGGAAGATTAATTGGAACTGGGAGTATTTAAACTACGCACATGGGCTACAGGATCCGATTCGAACGTATGGGAAGGAGAACATTAGGAAGTTGAGAAAGGCATCGAAGAAACACGATCCAGAAGGGATATTTCAGACGCTAAGAGGTTCGGGGTTTAAGATTCCGATTAACTAAGTAGGAGGGGTAGTAAAAGAGTATATGCGAGCCAATACATATTAATGTATTGTTATCGCGCAAAGAAGCGTGTAGTTTCCCTATGTAGCGCTCTACACGTGATCAAGCGTGTAGTCTAACTACACAACGCTCGCCCTATAATAGAGCATATAGGCTAGCTATACAAAATTTAAATATAATAGAGCTTGTAGATTAACTATACAGCGATTGTTACCTTAGTACCTAGAAACCTACACATGTAACGGGCTAGGCCCGATGGTAGCGCCTCGGCGCTCGCCGGCCTCGGCCAACCTCCGAGAGGAGGTGCCTGCCCAGCTGTACCCCTAGTCAAGAGGTCCTAATCTTGACTAATTGTGGCACCTCTGCACAGAGGTCATAAAAGTCTGCAGACCTCTGCCTGCAGCTGTCCCTTAACAAATCTATTTAATTCATACTTGCAAATAGCCTATAGAGGCTAGCTCCTTACATTTAGATTTATTTATCCTCTTCTTTTGTTTGTTTATTAAGTATCTGCAAGGAACTACTCACAATAAGCAAAAACACTAATACTGTTATAGGGCGCCTCATTAACGTACTCCACGGGTGAGTCGTTCATACGGGTGAGTCGTTCATACTGCCAAGACCACACCAAACCTCCACCCTATTATGGCTCGCATTGGCCTACTTTGGCCTTGT